CTTCAACATTAGCTGGCCCTCTTCGTGCCTCAGCTCTCCACCTGCAGCATGGGGGGTTGTGAAGATTAGGCAAAATAATAGGTGAAAAGCTTCTGGCACCCTCCGGGGCCTGTGGCCCACATAGGACATATTTTACTGACTTCCTCAGACTCTGTCAATGAAGACATGTCGCTTAACTACAAAAAGTCTAATTGGGACCACATTCCCTTAAAGAAATCTGTTTATTAGGGGCTCATATTCTATTCTAAACATAACGACAACTTTTATATACTTTTGAATGTAAGATGGTATGTTTATTGTAAAAATTAGAAAATACAGGTAAGCAAAAGAAGAAAGAAAAAAACATCATTTGTGATTGTATCTCTGGCTGTGAGCACTGTGTATGTCTTCCTAGCAGGGTGTGTGTGTGTGTGTGTGTGTGTGTGTGTGTGTGTGAATTAGTGATTTAAAACAAAAAGTAAGCAGTTGGTATGTGTCATATATTGTGACACTGTTTCCTGCCTTCTCTGACTCAGTTTGGGATGGCTGTGAGGACTTCTGTTGTACTGGAGTAGCTCACTCTATCCAGTTGCTAGAGGTCAAATTGCTTGGTTTTCTACTGCAGGTGCCTTTTTCATAGTTTTCGATATATATCAACATTCTAAGTTACTAAGGGCTTTTGATTGATTAATAACTATCATTGAGTTACTCTGTCTGTTCTTCAAAATCTTTTGTTTCCAGCAAAGTGAAACATTTCCTAGAAAGAGTAAGGCATTACATTATTCTGACCTGATTCCAGCAGGTACTTGGAAGGACAGAGTGCTTTTTGCTTATGAGGTAACTTCCCCAGGTTGATAAGAAAGTAGCATATTCTTGGCCCATTTGCAAGGAACACCTGTTGGCATGTGGCCTGAAGGGTGGGTACTCAGGTTAGTAGAGAAATGGCTCAGCTTTACCCAGATCTGGAACCCACAACTTGGCAAAGAGCTTTCTGCTGAGATTAGTTAACAATGTCACAGGCACCAGTAGTCCTGGGAGACTGACAACCTGCCATAAGGCCCAGGGCTTCTGTTCACAGGGCAGACTCAGAAGAAAAAAGTGGGATACAAGAGATCTCACTGAAGACTTGGTGGAAAGTTAGAGTTAAATAAACTGATTCCCTCCTGGAAGTCTATTGGGAGAGAAACATATGCAAGTAACAGATATGGCCAGAATATTGAGGCCTGATTTAAAACCAAAACTTCAGGTAAAGATGAATTGTGAAATCCATTTTGTTCTTATCTTAAGCCTCTAGATTACGTTAATTACAGAATTAAGACTTTCATTTCACCAACTATAAATACTAGGCTGCATTTTTTTGTTTTATTCAGTCTTGAACTTTGTATTTTTAGTGGTGAATCAGCCTTGGGTATAAGCTGGGTTTCACTGTTGGTTTTTAGAGCACACCTGGCAGGCAGCAGAGAACTCCTGGGATTTTTGTCTCCAAAGATATTGGCTTCCATTTGAACTTAGGGATAGTCTTAGTGATTGTCATTGAAGTATTATTCACATACCAGAGCACGCTGTTAGCTTGAGTCAGTGTTGGGCTGGCAAGTCCCACCCCCAAGGACAGTCCAATCAACCTCCCAAGGTAGGGGTAGCGAAGGTTTCTCTTTGCCTTACTGTATTTGGTGTTGCTGTCACAGAATATCACAGACTGGATAATTTACAAGAAAAGAGATCTATTTCTTCCAGTTCTGGAGCCTAGGAAGTCCAAGGTCAAGGGTCCCAAATCTGGCAAGGGCCCTCTTGCTTCATCATCTCATGGCAGGTGGTAGAAGGGCAAGGGGAGCCAGAGCGCAAGAGGGGATTCATTTATTTATTTATTTTTGAGGCAGAGTTTCGCTTTTCTTGCCCAGGCTGGAGTGCAGTGGTGTGATCTTGAGATCCTGGCTCACTGCAACCACCACCTCCCAGGTTCAAGTGATCCTCCTGCCTTAGCCTCCATAGTAGCTGGGATTACAGGTGCCTGCCACCATGCCTGACTAATTTTTTGTATATTTAGTAGAGACAGGGTTTCATCATGTTGTCCTGGCTGGTCTTGAACTCCTGACCGACCTCAGGTGATCCATCAGCCTTGGCCTCCCAAAGTGCTGGGATTATAGGGGTGAGCCACCATGCCCAGCTCCAAACTCACTTTTATAACAAATGCAGTTTACCGTAACTAACCTACTCCTGTGATAACAACACTAATCCATTAGGGTAGAACCTTCATAACCTTATCACCTCTTATTGGCCCCATCTTCCAGTACTGCTGTATTAGGGGTTAAGCTTTTAACACATGAACTTCAGGGGACACATTCAAACCATAGCAGCCTTATAGAACCATAAGAAAATGCATTGGTGTTCTTCCTTGCATCTCCCTTGCATTGTAAAACTGCAATTGCTCTACAATAGGCTTCATCCAAAAAGTCCTTTATGTTTGCTGTGGGTTATGGTGGCAACCAGAAGGACCTGTCCTTGCTTCCTAGGCCACACAATCTATGATGCCAGGAGAGAAGAGCACAGAGGGTTTTGGGGGCTGGGATGGAGCACGAAGCCTTCTTGTGTTGGAGAACAGGACAGCTTTGGTGGGAAGAGGGGAAAGTCTAGATTGAAGTAATAAACAGTTTTTCAGGTGAGATGCAAGAGAAACTCCTGAGATTTTTATGGATGTTTTTAGGGCATGGGGGATCCATGAACTACAGCTCATGATCAATTATAGGACTGTGCAAAGCAGTTCAAAACATCTAATAAGCAGTGTAGCGGATGTCAATCTTGGTCTAGACCCACATGGTCCAGAAATATTACTTTTTAATTTTTCCAGGATCAACTTAATGCTGAGAAACTCCAAGCTCTTGGTTCTAATATTCAGGTCAGATGCTCTGGTGCCTATTCTTAGGATCCCTTCCTACCCTTTCCCTCTGCCATTGTATAGGGGGGTGTGGGGGAGTCCATGTCTAGGTTCCTACCTGCCTATAAGGGTAAGAAGAGTATTTTTTTTTTCTTTTTCTGAGACAGGGTCTTACTGTGTCACCTAAGCTAGAGTATAGTGGCATGATCATAGCACACTGCAGCCTCAACCTCCCAGGCTCAAGCAATTCTCCCACTTCAGCTCACCAAGTAGTGGGACTGCAGGCATGTGCCACCACACCTGGCTAATTAAAAAAAAAAATCTTTGTAGAGATGGGGTCTCAATATGCTGCCCAGGGTAAGAGAGTATTATCTTGCAGCTCCTAGAACACATGGCCAGATGCCTCCAGCCTCACCTTGAGACTCTAAGGATTTTGTTTTGGTTTTAGGATCTGAGGAATTCTCTCTTTACATTAGTTGCTTTCCTTAGAGTCCATCCCTTTGTCCTCAAACACTACTCTCATTTCAGGATACCCAGTATTACTGCCTCAAAAGACTTGCACATTTGAGCAAGGAAGGGAAGCGTTTTGAGTGGCACACACACACACACACACACACACACACACACACCCTTCCTTGAGTCAAGGAGAAACTAAGCCTTCCAGTTTACACTTTGAAGGTACAGGATGGGAGGAATGAATGGAGAGAAAATATAAATTTATATCTCAAAAATTATTCCGACATTAAAATGTAATACATTTTTCGTTTTACAACTAACTCTTAAGGTCCCTAGAGCCAGATGAGATGTGGAGCCCCTTGGTTTCCCTGGGTAAGAGCTTGGGGTGGGAGAGGAATTAGTAAACTGATTCAGAGGTTCCCCACAAATAAGAGTAAACATATTTTCCCCAGTATCTTTAATTCCCCAGCTGTTTAATAACCAAATAAATGTCATAGCTTCATGTTGACATTAAAAGTATTATAAACTCCATTTGGAAGGTTTTTAATTAATAAACAATATTTCCTGACACACTAGGAATAAAATTAAATCTTTAGTTAAACCAACGTTTGGGTCTTAGGATCCTTTATACTCCTACAGAGTCCTGAGACCCCCTGAGAACTCTGTTTATGTGGGTTGCTTGTATCTATTGATATTTACCATATGAGAAATTAAAACCAAGAAATTCAAAACGTGATTAATACAAGGATAAAAAACTAATTACATATTAACATATATATTATATTTTATGGAAAATAACAATACTTCCAGTAAAAAAAATAACAGGAGTGACCTTTTTTCATATTGCAAATCTCTTTAATATTTGACTTAAGAGAAAATAAGTGGATTCCCATATCAGCTTCTGCGTTCAATCTTTTGTGATTGGTTGCTGAAGAAAATCTGACTTCACACAGATATGCTTTTGGAAAAAAGAAGACTTCATGGACCCTGAAAGGGTCTCAGGGACTCACAGGAGTTTTGGGATCACTTTGAGAACTGCACATTTAAACAGATAAACTACCAGTATATGTGATGGATTTTAAATGAAAAATTGTCTTTATTGAGAATTTGAGTAAACTGTGGGTGAAATTAGTCCCTTATGAACTGACAGATGATAGTTTAATTGGGTTAAAAAGTATTCCTTTCCCGGGTGCTAGTTAAGTCTCCCAGGAGAGCCAGAGTCAGTTTCATACTTCTTTCTAGTTGGCTTAATAATTTTGAAATACACAAATTATTTTAATATCCACAAATTCACCAGAAGCAGTCATGGTATGATTTTATCTTTATTTATTTATTCCTTGTGAGTAGATGTGCTATGAAATCACAGGTGTGCTATATATATACATTTTTTTTTTGAGACGGAGTTTTGCTCTTGTTACCCAGGCTGGAGTGCAACGGCGTGATCTCAGCTCAGCGCAACCTTCGCCTCCTGGGTTCAGGCAATTCTCCTGCCTCAGCCTCCCAAGTAGCTGGGATTACAGGCATGCACCACCATGCCCAGCTAATTTTTTGTATTTTCAGTAGAGACGGGGTTTCACCATGTTGACCAGGATGGTCTCGATCTCTTGACCTCGTGATCCACCTACTTCGGCCTCCCAAAGGTGTGCTATTTTATGGTGTCGTGTGTCTTGAACGTTGCCCTCTCTCCTTACAGAAATACAAAGAGTATGAGAAAGATGTTGCCATAGAAGAAATTGATGGTCTCCACCTGGTGAAGAAACTGGCGAAGAACATGGAAGAGATGTTTCACAAGAAGTCCGAGGCAGTCAGGGTAAGCGCCTCTGCTTTGTGCCCTGTAGCCTGAAGACACAAAGGCAGTTTCAGGGGATGGCATTGATGAACCAATCTCTCAAAGATAAAAGTTGACTCACTCAGCTATTACATAAATAATTCTATTTCTACAGTCTGGTTAACCAGGAAAAGCAGTCACTAGGGGCACAAACTGCCCTTTTCATAGAGAGTTCTTGTGTCTGTTTTCTTCTGATAATGCGTTCAGTAGAGGTGCCACTAATTGTTCAGCCATGCAGTGTGGGCCTATAACTGTATAATGCATTCACTAACTGCCCAAAACCATTCAAAAGTACAGCAGGGTTCAACTAAGCTCTATTCTGATCTGAACATTTTCTTGGGTAGGTGTGTTTTGTTATTTTCTCAGATGGCTGCATAACATTCCAGTCTGTGAGTGTGTCATAATTGATTTAACTGTTCCTATATATTTGGATGTCTGAGTTGTTTGAAAGTTTTAATTGGCCAGGTGCAGTAGCTCATGCCTGCAATCTCAGCACTTTGGGAGGCCGAGGCAGGGAGATCATCTGAGGTCAGGAGTTTGTGACTAGCCTGGCCAACATGGTGAAACTCTGTCTCTACTAAAAATACAAAAATTAGCTGGGCGTGGTAGCCAGCACCTGTAATCCCAGCTACTTGGGAGGCTGAGGCAGGGGAATTGCTTGAACCTGGTAGGCAGAGGCTGCATTGAGCCAAGATTGTGCCACTGCACTCCATCCTGGGAGACAGAGCGAGATTCTGGCTCAAAGAAAAAGAAAGTTTTAATTTAAGAGATGCGGTCTTGCTATGTTGCCCAGGCTGGTCTCAACCAGCTGGGCTCTAGTCATCCTCCCACCTCAGCCTCCTGAGTAGCTGGGGCTACAGGTATGTACCACCACACCTGGCTTGCTTGCAGGTTTGACATAAATAATGCTGCAGTGAATCTTCTTGTATATTTATAATGGATCAACCAACTGAGCACCTACTACATGTGAGCTGCTTCTTCAAGGACTGTGTATGTACTCACTTATGTCATCCTTGTAACACCCCCGTGATGGATGTTACTATTATCCCCATTTTACAAAAGAGGAGACTGAGAGGAAGGACTTGAGTAGCTTCTCCCAGGTCACATGAGGAGTGAGAGAGAGCTCCAGCCATATGGAGTCCACATTCTTTTTTTTTTTTTTGAGATGGAGTTTCGCTCTTGTTACCCAGGCTGGAGTGCAGTGGCGTGATCTCAGTTCACCGCAACCTCCGCCTCCTGGGTTCAGGCAATTCTCCTGCCTCAGCCTCCCGAGTAGCTGGGATTACAGGCATGCGCCACCATGCCCAGCTAATGTTTTGTATCTTTAGTAGAGACGGGGTTTCACCATGTTGACCAGGATGGTCTTGATATCTTGACCTCGTGATCCACCCGCCTCGGCCTCCCAAAGTGCTGGGATTACAGGCTTGAGCCACCGTGTCCGACCTGGAGTCCACATTCTTTACTGCCTCCTCGTCTTCAGTATTCCGGAGTGTATGTGTATTTCCTTAACATGAATTCCAGAACACAGAAGACAGTTCAGAGGCTCAGAAGCAATTTTCAAGGTTTTTTATGCATATGAAAACATTTCCCTCTAGATAAGGTTGTGCCAATTCACAGCTGCTCCAGCGGGAGTGGTATGCAAGTGCTTATTTTCTGGAATCCTTGCAAAAAAAAAAAAAAAAAAAAGCACTAGTAACAGTATTGTCAATTTGAGAAGGGGACATATTGTTTTAACTTACATTTTTTTGTGAATCACAGAATTTTAGAGGAGAAAAGGACACAAATATCTTTAGGTTCTGCTTCTACAATTGACAAAGTAGCCCTGGTGTCTAGAATTAGGGGAGCTTTGTGGGTGGTGGGGGAAGGAGTCATGTGGCATGCTTCTGTTGACACAGAGGTCCAGCCAGCACCAGAACCTAGACCTCACCTCCTTGAGGCAGTGGACCCATGTGGTCAGTGAGACATGGGCTCTGGAAGTAGTGGAACTGTTTTGAATCTCAGCTCTGTCCCAAGGTGGGGGACCAGTGAGAAGAACTGAGTAACTCCTGTGAATCTCTTTTTCCTCATTTACCAGCCTGGAGGTATTAGCAGGAGTCCATGATTTAATAAATATGTGCTTACATTTATTGAGTTCAGATGCACCAGCCCCTGTGCTAATCACTTCATGTATGTCATCTCGTTTAATTCTTGAATCAACCTTAGGAGTGAGACACTGTTACTATCGTTGTCTTAGAAATGAGCAAACAGGCTTGGCAGGATGAAGTCATTTGCCAGGTCACATGGGCAGGGCTCAGCAGAGTTAATTTTTACACCCAGGTGGTGGGGTTGCAGGACTTCTGTATCTATACAAGGCATTTATTTAGCTCAGTGTCTGGCAAACAGTAAATGTTCAGCAAACATTTGCTGTTACTTCTGGTTAAAGGGCCTTCCCACCTGTGAGCATCTGATAGGAAGTAGTCTTGCAGCTTCTAGAAGCACCTGGTTCAGATGACAGGAGGGAAGGTGAACAGGGTTTAGCGTCTTCGTATTGCCTAATTTTGAAAGCTTTTTGCCTTAGTGAAGTTAGAAAGAAAAAAGACAATTTGATATGGTGGGTGTAGTTCCTTTGAGAAGAAAAAATAAGTTGCTCTGTTTACATTGAAATGTTCCCAGAATAAAGGCAGCCAGATTCCTTGCAATGTGTATTCTATGTATTTTAAAATAAGTACACAGGACCTCTGTAAGCACGCTTGATGCTCCAGCCTATAATATCTTGATGAATTGGTCCAGTGTTATGTCGATTTTCCCACCCCTGTCTTTAAAGAGAGTTTGTACCTCACATAGGGCTTTAGTGTGGAGATAGTAGAGACAGGCCTGGTCCCCACTGTGAGCGATGTGGCTCTTTTGGCAACAGTCAGGACCCATGTGCCATTTGGAATGAGATGTCCCTTTGGGGGCCAGGGAAGCAGTGAGTGTAACCCTTTTCATATTTTGATGGCACCTTGATTCTCCATTAGGAAAAGTTGCTGTTTGCCTGTTGGATTTGTGAACATTTGAAGAACAAAGACCTCAGGTCCAAATTTGCCTGTGGGTTTGCAGTGGAGTCATTATTTGTAGCCTTGCACTGGAATGCACCACTGTGAAACAGGGTGGGGTCCTTTCCCATGCCACCCACCAGGCGGTGACCCCACACCACTCTTTTCTAAGAGCTCAGGAACAGAACAGATTTTAGGTTTGGCCTTATCACTCTGATATGCCATGCCTAGGAATCTTCCCTTTCCAAGCCCCTGTCCGTCACCCCCCAGCAGCTGGAGTTGGGTCCCAGGTCCAGGCGCCCCACCTTGTGTTTTCCTAGTATGCATCAATGGTGACTCGAGGGGCGTGTGTAGGAGAAACCTGGTTCACAAACAACCCGATTAGTAACATTTCCATTGATGTATATAAAATATTTATGAGTCTGGCAGTAGCAATTTAGGAATTGGCAATAACAACACCTTTAGTCTGTGAAAGTACGTTCAGTTAGTTCTGGGGGATAAAAAGGAGTACTACAATAACCCCCTCTTTTAATGTAGCCTGTCATCTCCTGCCTGTTAAACAATGTTGATCTTTTTCTCTGTCTCTTCTGGCTTGATTTCATCATTTTCCTCCATCACTTTTTCCAGTGATTAGTTGAATCAGAGTGATTTTATCATCCTCATCTCCTATTTGAATTACTCTCCACTATGCAATTATCCTATCACAGAAAGTCCTATTTTCTCCCCGTCAGATGTCTGAAGTAAATGTGAAACCTAAAGTGGGCTGCCCATTACATAACCCCTGTCATCTCGCTGGTAATGGACTATATGTAACTTTTTTTTTTTCAGGCTAGCAAATTATAAATAACCTTAGCTTCAGTAATTGCCATGAACATAATGGTACCATCATTATGGTAGCATTTCTTAAATAATCTTTTCTAGCGCTTTTTAATGCTATTGGTGGTTTAAGTAATTTTTTCACACTCACACACAGGCTAGCTATAGGTTATTTGATACGGCCATGCTCCTGCTTGCTTTGGTATATAGCGATTGTGCCCAAGGCACAATCTCTCACCTTCATTGTTCAGACATATTTATGCTTCCAAGTCCTCAATATTGCTGACAATTTGTCAAGTTTTAAGTCTCTGTGAATGGACGAGAAATGGAGTCCATTTGCTTTTAGTTCATTAACATTTCAAGGGATATTTCACGTGCTGGACATGGAGGAAAGGATATGCACCCATCCTTTGCTAACTATGGATGCTCATCAGGCCATTCCTAAGTGACACCTGGAAATGCTTGTCTGCGTCACAAGTCAGAGCTCATCTTTGATGTTGATGGAAGGCAAATTTGACACCATTCCCCTTTCTCCTGAGTTGCTGATGTTGAGAGATGTACCCTGATTTAAGGGGAGGGACAAGGCAGAAGGGTTGCATTGCATGACCTTGTTTATATGAACAGGCTGCCCCCAGCCTTTCCTCTGTCTTTAAAATCTGGCCCTTCAGGGGGAGTCGCACAAACTATCAATCAACTGGAAGCATCATCTGGGGCTCCGGGGAGCTCTGAGCAGGCATAGCCAAATGTGCGGTGGGAAGAGGGTCTGTAGGAAGTAACTGTGTAACCACGGACATCTCTGATTGTAAGGATATAATTTCAGGACCAATTCCATCACAGACAGGGAGATGCCATGATCCTGTGATTTTGGTGTGGTCCATATAACTGGGATGAACAGCACAAGAAAAAAGCAGATAAACCAGGAAATGACAAAAAGGACTTTGGCGAATTTATAATTTTATAGTAGTATTCTCCAGGGTGGTTTTCTAAAGGTCAATTCCTCAGAGTGGATTTTGCCTTTGGTTGTGCGGAACAGCTCTGGGGTGGACACTGCCTTCACCACACTGATTTAAACTGGACTTATAACCTCCTCCTGTCTTCCCAGGTGTTCCTGGCTTCAGAGCCAAACACTGATCCAGAGGACTTTAAATGTCA